TGGCTGCGGGCGCCTGATAAGCCAACATCCCCCACTTTCATCACTTACAGCGCCCATCGTACAGGGCAAATGAAAAGTGCAACCGGAATGAAAAGGGTGTTACATTTACTTAATTATGAATGTTGTTACATCAAGGCCAACAATTAGGATGAGCGCCAACGGTCAAACATGTTTTTCCCCTCCCAGAGCTACCAGCGCAGCGCCCCCCAGATCTGGTGCCCAAAAATCGGCCCTAATACATACAGTGGCAAGTGCTGCGCCACCGCTATTTGTATATAGGGGAAACACTGCGTTATGTTCTTTTAGTTTTTCCCGGATGCTGTTTATCCCGCTACTTCAAGAAACCACTTTAACCACTAACTACATCACAGCTCCTACTGCTGGGTAAAAGTGTAATAAAAATGATCTGGAAGGAGGATTAAAACAACAGAATATTAATTGTCGTTTGTGAATTGAAATGCCCTTTGCCTAATAATAGCAGAAAAATAAGAAAATGCTCACTTCTGTACTTTGAGAGGTTTAGTTTAGGAAGATTAAGGTGGTAGTAATCAGCAGTGAATATTCGGCGCTCGCACATATTTATCATGTGTAACGTTACTGTTGAAACTACGGATAAAGCAGCTTCATCATGGCAACTGGACAACAACTAAGCTAAGCTACTACTTACAGCATTCAGGTGACTTTTCATAGTTCTTGTGCCCAAAGTTTCCGATAGAATTTGTTTTTGCCGGTCAACATGCAACATGTATGATTCGATATTAAACAAAAACAAAATACAATTTTTTTTTTTTTTAAATCATGTCACTGAGGGCCCTCTTTGCTCAAGGGCCCCTGGGCACTTGTCCAGGTTGCCCATATGGTTAATCCGGCCTTGTCTACAGGCCAGGCATATGTACTACAGCGTCTCCAGCGCTTTCGAACGGCAATGTCCGTGGCTGTCTCCTCCTGATTGGTGGAGTTGGCCCAATAGCCGTAGCGCCACTTCTGTGACGTCACAGAACTGTTCAAATCTGTATCAGTCTGTATCAGATCCGTTGCAGCCCCTTTTTAAGAGATTTGGGTAAGGAGGAAAAGAGAGAGGGTTGTGTTTTCTGACACTTGGTGAGTTCCCTGGAACACCGGGGACACGTATTCATCTATAAAAGACGTACAAAAGTGCATTTTGCATGATAGGTCACCTTATAGTAGATTAACTACATTATTCAAAAGTGTACAGTAACTTATAATAACACAGGAATAATACACGGAGCGCTCTCTCCCTCTCCTGAAAGCCCGTCAGTATCTCATGCAGCTCGCGGATCCAGTAATGAATGACCCGAAATAAAAAATAAACATATCTATAACTAGTTACGGTAGTTTGAAAGGTAATTAAAATAGCTAAGTGTGATTTTCTAACCTGAAGTGTGTGTTTTGCTCCACTCACCGCTGCATGTGATCATGCAGAGCTGCGTGTCGACTCGTCAGCAGCAGCTGGTCTCTCTCTCCCGTCAGATTAGACTTCACTCGCGTTTATGTCCATATCGATCAGATCTACGGTAGCTATTGAAAGCGATGTCAGGCGCCGAAGCTGAGATTGTATATATTACATTTAGAAACAAAAACAGTAGGCCAACGACCGGATATTCGGGTTCAGCCCTACAGGGTTCTTGCTTTTTTTTGTATCTTCAATGTTTTTGCAGTTATTGTACATTTTTGGGGTTAAAAGGGTCTGCTGAATGAAATCTAATGTAAACCTTTATCAAAAGTTTATTGATTTGAGTAGTGAAAGCATTCTTCGGAAATAAACGTAAGCTACAAGAAAAGATTCTCACCAGCCAAGAGTTTTTTTACTTGAGTGGCAAATTACGTAATTTTGTACCATTTCACCTACTCTATCTTCAGGTCAGTACTGCATGCCGGAGGAGGGGGTGAAGCTTACACCACGCGGCCAGCTGCTGTCCACCTCGGAGATTCTGACCCTGGCTCGCCTCTTCGTCAAGGAGGGGGTGGAGAAAATCCGCCTCACTGGAGGAGAGCCCCTCATCAGACCTGATATCCTGGATATCATCGGTACGGAGAAATTGAGTTGAAAGAGTCTTGTTATTTCATCTCATGGAAGGGTGCATTAAACCAGGACATATCAATTATTATTATTATTGTATTTGGTACAGAACAGAGATGCACATAAAGAACACGACAGTATGATGAGATGAGACAATACCAGCTCACATGTGTGTGTGTGTGTGTGTGTGTTTATATATATATATATATATTTAAGACAAAATAAAGTTATTTTGCTTTTTGGGGTCTCGCTTTCTGTAGTGTGTTGTATAGGTTTTTGTCCATCTAAATTGTCAAAGGCTAAACTGCCAAAGTTCCCTCCAGAGGGAGTTTTTTTTCCCACACACTCAATCAGAGCAGACTGGGCTCTGGTTTCAGACAGAGGGTAAAAAGAGGTGCTGCAGCACAGGCAGTATGAGAAAAATAAAGACCGTTTTGATAATTAAAGCATATAAATGTGACGTTTGGATTCTTGGACCCCAAAGCAGAGACAGACAAAAGTAAAGTTCAAGGTGTTTAATAATACTAGGCCAAGGCAGGTACTGTCAACAGGGAGCTGGCTGGTAGCAGAAAGGTCCAAAAACAAACAGAAGGAAAACGTTCCTGGCCAAAAACTCAAAAAGTTGCACAAAAACTGCAAAGAGAAACAAAAACTCGGCTTGGGCTGCAGAGAGGCACTCTGGATCGACGAACAGCATATAATACTCTGGCAGAGTAGTGAGGTGAGGGCCAGGCTCTTAAAGAGAGGGTTGATTAGGGAAGTGAGAACAGGTGTGCCTCATCTGCAGCCAGGAGAATACCAGCCACGCCCCCTGTCACACACCAGTCCTGCAGAGAAGGAGAGGAAGAGCAGAGAGGGGAAAAAGGAGCAAACACAACAACCAAAAACCCCAAGCATAAACATAACAGTAAACATGTCCCAGTAGAGGCGCAAAATACAAATATGAAATTGAAAATTAGCAACATATGGCTTTCATTTATGGGATTTACATTAAGATTGAATATAAGTAAGCTATCAGTGATTCCTCTTTAAACCCTGTTGACTAGACAAGAGCTTTTCTAAGGCACACAAGGAGAGGAGCAGTAGTGGGTTTTCCATGCATGCCTTACGGTCAAGTCATACTTGTGGTGGGGAAAATGATTTGTCACAGTACGGCTATGTGCTTAGTCTAATGAAGCATTATCCCATCATTTTACAGCCTAATTTTAATATTAACCATTGTAATTAAGGCGATCAGTTCCTGACAATTGCGCTTGTGTGCGCAACATTAAAGCATGACAAACGTGAACAAAACATGTGTTGTGACCAATGGGCAATGACTATGTAGAAAGGAGACCTATGGCTTCCTCATGCCCAATACAGATCATCAATTATCTGTCATGTGACAAGCCTCCACTATGACCTTACATGGCCTCACTGTATTCTTTGAAGATGAATAGTGTAGTTTTTTTAATGCAGGCTAGGACTGGACCATGACAGTCGTTTTTAATGTCCAGCCGTAATCATGACATAACAAGTGAAATGTTAAGGTTTTGTTAATAAAAGCTTTCTTGCATATTGATCATGAGGTACTGTGCAAAAAAGCAGAAAACTCAATGTACATTCAATCATTCTCTCTTTGACGTTGAGGACATCAACCCATTTTATGCAATGACACTAATATGACTACATCCCCCAAATTGGGTTGCACATTTCCAAGCTTGTGTCTAAAGTACTCTGTGAGTACAGGTTGATTACAACTAGTGATTTACTTTATAAAGTAGCACCACATCACACAAATGTCTAGGTAAGTCTTAAAGGGTCCCTATTATGCTCATTTTCAGATTCATAATTATATTTTCTGCCTCTACTGTGACATGTTTCCATGCTTTAATGTTCAAAAAGGTCTTCATTTTTCTCGTACTGCCTGTTCTGTAGCACCTCTTTTCACCCTCTGTCTGAAACCAGAGCCCAGTCTGCTCTGATTTCATTTTGTAAACCATTCATATAACTGTTATTAATCTTCAATGAAAAGGAGCCATTTATACGTGAATATTACGTTGTGTGATTATTTAGCACTCTCTCCGTTTTTCCTTTTCCTTGTGCTCATGTGTCTCTCCCTCTACAGCTGAACTGAGGAAGTTGGAGGGCCTGAAAACCATTGCAGTCACAACCAACGGCATGAACCTGGCCAGGCTTCTGCCTAAGCTGAAGGATACCGGTCTTAACCTGATCAACATCAGCCTGGATACACTGGTCCCGGCCAAATTTGAGTTCATTGTCAGGCGGAAAGGTACAGAAATGTGTTTGAGTGTAAGCTTAAGCGATTTGATAATAATAATAATAATGGCTTTAATTTATAAAGCACTTCATATTTGCATTCAAATCCCGAAGTGCTAACATCGTAAAAAGAATAAAAAGCAATAAATAAAAATAAATAAGTAAAAAGAATAAAATAAGATAAAAGGGTGATAATAAGTAAGTAAAATGTCTAGGGAAAGGCTCTATTGAAGAGGTGGGTTTTGAGGCCTTTTTTAAAAACCCTCCACGGTCTGTGATGCTCTCATGTGGTCGGGGAGAGCGTTCCACAGACTGGGGGCAGCCGAGCAGAAGGCCCGGTCTCCCATGGTACGGAGCTTAGTCCTCGGGGGTTTGAGGAGGTTTGAGTTGCTGGAGCGGGTGGTCCGCACGGAGGTAAGGGGGGTGAGGAGTTCCTTAGAGGTGGTAAAGGTAGTCGACTAGTCGACTACCTTTACCACTAGTCGGCGCTGTAGGCCCTAGTCAACTAGTCGTGAAAAAAATGGAGGTAAACNCAGCCGAGCAGAAGGCCCGGTCTCCCATGGTACGGAGCTTAGTCCTCGGGGGTTTGAGGAGGTTTGAGTTGCTGGAGCGGGTGGTCCGCACGGAGGTAAGGGGGGTGAGGAGTTCCTTGAGGTATGGAGGGGCTGTACCAAAGATACACTGGTGTGTGAGGACGGAGACCTTGAATTCGATCCTCAAT